CAACGTATCCCATCAGAGTGGACTCAAACTTTGAAAATCTTCATATACCCGTCTCCAATCTTCAACTAAGTTCCCACAAGGACACTGTGGCACCATGGGAAATGCGAGCTATCAATTGCGACTTGTCTTTCCTAGAGGTAGGAAAGCATGACCTCCTAGTCGCAATCGATCAGCATTTTATGTACTCGCAGGCAAAATACAGGTGTGCTGAGTACTACACTGATGCTTCCCAGTCCTCGGCCGTTGCATGTGCTGCATACGGCCCAGCGTACTCTGAATCTGCAACAATGAATGAACATAGCAGCATATTTACTGCTAAGTGCAATGGCATACTGCTAGCTATAAGGCACATCTTAAAGAAGAAAGAACCAGCCTCCATCATACACACATATTCCCTCAGTGCAGTGACTGCGTTGTCTTCCGCTAAGACACATAAAAATCCAGTGACTAATACCCTTCTAAACTGCCTCATGTCAGCCTACAGATCCAACCTGAAAATCACGCTATGCTGGATTCCGGGACACTGCAACATAGCTGGCAATGAGGCAGCGGACCGACTTGCGAAGTCCGCTGCACTCCGCCCAACAGTAGACGTAGTCGTCATCCCATATGAGGACTTGAGGCCGCTAACCAGAAACCGAATGCGTAAGCAATGGCAAGAGGAATGGAACGCAGCAATTGAAAACAAATTGCACACAGTAAAGCCAAGAATAGGTAGATAGGCTCTTGAAAAACGTAACAGGCATCAAGAGGTTGCACTGTGCAGACTCAGGATCGGTCATACACATGCAACACACTCGCACCTTTTAAGCAACTCTCCTGCACCGTGTTGTGAAAAATGTGGTGACGTGCTATCTGTCGTTCACGTTTTAATTATGTGCCCGTACCTTGAACCACAAGGACTGCATCACTTTTTAATGCTATACAAATGCCACATACCGCCCCACCCTTTATTTTTTCTTGGGGACGATCCCATGTTTCCCATAAAAGTAGTTTTAAAGTTCTTAGCTGATGTTGGATTCCTGCACTTAATTACATATTCTCACTAATCTCAGCCCTCTCTCAATCCTGAGAGAACCACTGAGACTTCTTTACCAAATGTCATGCAGCACGCACTTCTTGTCCTGACAAGGACCACTGCCGCCACTGCGTGACTTTTTTAAAACCCATAGGTTTAGACCATTTTAAACTCATCACACATAGTCATTACACTTAAGTTTAATCCATATGCCCCACTCTTTTATTCTTGCCACCCTGAGATTTTTTTCTATATTTGAACCAACGAAAAACCCTGTGTTTGGCGCTCTTTGGCCTGAGTTGCCCTTGCGCCACTAAAATCTACCATCATATTCATCATCATCATCATCTATTCAACGAAGGTCTGTACGGCTTCACTTGTATAGTACCATGTGTACTTGGTACTATTCAACGGAGCAGAGACCTGGAGACTAACCGGAGGGTTCAGCTTAAATTGAGGACGACGCAGCAAGCAATGGAAAAAAATGATAGGTGTAACCTGAGACAAGAAGAGAGCAGAGTGGATTAGGGAACAAACGGGGGTTAAGGATATCATAGTTGAAATCAAGAAGAGGAAATGGACATGGGCCGGGCATGTAGCACGTAGACAGGGCCCCACTGGTCATTAAGGGTAACTAACTGGATTCCCAGAGAAGGCAAGCCAGTTAGGGGGAGACAGAAGGTTAGGTGGGCAGATGAGATTAAGAAGTTTGCTGGTATAAATTGGCAGCAGCGAGCACAGTACCGAGAAAACTGGCGGAACATGGGAGAGGTTTTTGTCCTGCAGTGGACGTAGTCAGGGTGATGATGATGATAATGTACTTGGTACCTAGCGTGGCTATTGGAGCTGTTCTATACAACAGGCACCAACATACGAGTGGTGCAAAAGCTTACGGGGAGAAAAAGTGCGTGCTGTACAGTGATTACAACTGAAGGCATATATAACGGCACCTTTCTTGCGCGTTCGAAGAAAGAGAGCGATAGATGGAAGGAGACAAAGTACAACATTGCACTGCTAGAGCGGATAGTGAGAATAATAATATCTGTCGTTTCACACGTCCCAAAAGCATATGATATGATCGTGAGAGACGCCGTGGTGATTGGCTTCGGTGAGCTCGACCACCTGGTGTTCTTTAACGTGCACCTAAACATAAGAACACGGCCCTGAAGAATTTGGGCCTCCGTCAAAAATGCAGCCGCCGCAGCCGGGATTCGATCCCGTGACCTTCGGGCCAGCAGCAAAGCACCGTAGCGACTGTTCTATTTAGTCCGACTAGGTGGACTATATAGAAAGAAACATTTAAAAAAAAAACGGCGATTGAAAGTCGCGAAAGTTTGTGGGATAGTGCTTTCGAAACAGTGTTTTGAAATTACAAAAACGAGAAAGAAATCTTAAGGACACAAAAAAATAACAAGTGAGAACAAGTACTGCATTCTTTTTCATTTCAATCGCAGTTAAATTTATTTCAAACCAAGCGAGCTACACCTTTTGTAAAAAAAAAAAAAACTTAGTTTGGAACGTAAACGGTTAAAGAAATAGAGCGGATCTGCACGTTACGCTGCCGCAACATTGGAACTATCGCGTCGTAAGAGGAAGTTGTATGCGGAACTTACCCGGTCGAAACGGACATTGCACACACGCTGCACGCGATACACAACCACCGTACGGATGGCACGCTCGATGACTCAGGCAATGAACCGTTACTCATCGCGTATAACCCACCCAAGATATGCAGAGAATGCCGAGATTATGTCGCGGTACAAGCAGGGGTGGATATAGCCACTCATATTAGGGATGGGGGAGGGGAAGTCGTTCAAATTAAAAAGCCAGAGTAGATGGTGGAACAGGGTACTGACTATCGGTTTGCAGTTGTTGCTATCATCTCAATTAAAACACCACCAGAGCATAAATGCTGCTCATTTGTCGCTCTAATCTCTCCTAATTGACGATGGATGAGGACGACAGGCACCCAAGGGTTGAGAATGGGGCATAGGATTTCTTCTTTTTTTGTGTGTGAGCGTGTGTGCGGGGGGGGGGGGGGGGCTGAGCGATCACCATTACTCCTCATCCGGACCCGCTACTGGGTATGAGCTATAAACCAATTTCGGCGTGCAGGTTAGTTTCGCTGCATGCACTAAGGTAATGCAAGGAAAGTTGCAGCGACAGCGTCAGCCGAAGCTCGCAGTAGGGCAGGGTGGAGGGGTGAAACTGGTGATGGAGTGATAATTTTCGTTTTGGCATCTAAGCTGATCGTTCCTTGTTAGTCGATCGTAGAAAACAATCATCTTAACGGGTTTGACCCACAGAATGTGGGTAAGTACCCCCACTGAACGCTGGTTCAATAAAAAAGGAAGACGGCAAGGCGGGCTGAGCTGTGGTCCTTGTGTAAGCTTGCACTTACGTTGCACTAAGAGCAAGACAGAAAGATAAAGAGTGAAAGAGAAAAGAGGAGAGAGAAAGGCATACAAACATACACGAAAAAGAGAGAGGAAAAGAAAGGAAGACGGAGAGACAGATATCAGCCAACAATTAAAGGAAGATAAAGAAACAGAGAGAGAGGGGAAAGAGATAGACAGATAGAAAAAGAGTGAGAAATGTATATAAACAGATGCAGTAAATGCAGAAAAATAAAGACAAAACATAAAAGGTCACCCAGCCACGCTTTCCCTTCAAGTTTAACACCACTAGGACGAAGCTGCCATAATATCATCGATCTTTAAACGTAGTTAGTCGGTTCATTTATATGAAGATGTGATGCAACACCATTTCCCACGGTTGAAATTTTGTGGGCAATGCGCGTTGATCTTCAACGAACCCTTTCACGAGAAGTAATTAACGCGTGCAGATTATCTGCAGGGGTGGATTATGTGGGATAAAAATGCGGTATGTAGTTTGTGCGTGTGCTTTAGCGCCTACAAAGCACTGCGCTTCAAGGTCCGAGGACGCCACTTCGACTCCTGCCAGCGGCGTCTATAATTAGATAAAAAGTCAACCACACATGCACGCACAAAGAGCGAGAGAGAGGAAGAACCCACGTACCTGAATTTAGGTGCATTTCACAAAAGTCCGTATAGTAAACAATTCATCCGCAGTTACCAAGTACAGAACCACCGTATAATTAAATCGCCATTTCGGCTTGCAAGACACTGACAGCTAATGTTTTTTTTCTAAAACTCAGTCGCTGAAAAACTTACAAATTTAGACGTTCAATGATTCACGCGTGCGTACCATTATTTCGTATTTTATATGTTGACATTATCACTGTTACATATACTTGTTTAACAATGCTATTGGTGCCTTGCCGATACACAAACAACCGAATGCAATGAGTTCAGTTTGATCAATCAGAAAAACGCAGTGATCCCACTTGCTCAATGGTCTGCCTGGCGATTACGTATTATTTATAAGCGGTCTGGATTTAAAAATGAACATGTTGCTGGCAGCTCTGTATCGTGTCCTTACGTGCCCTCTAGTGTCCGCCTGTCGCTTTCGCGCTGCATCAGAAGCTGTTTACCAGCAAGACCACACTGCAACCCTTGTCACATCCTGTGTGACTGTCCATTGTATGAAATCCAGAGACAGTCACTGGCGTCCGCTTTTGCGCGCATCGACAACAGCCAAATGTCTGTGGACACTATTCTGTCAAGTGCCCGAGAAAAGACAATGCAACAGAAGGCGACGAAAGCTCTGTTGAAATTCCTACGCAACACGAACTTGAACGAGCGACTGTAATAGCAATGTCACACACAGCGAAAGACAAGACTGGACTATGACTGAGTGTGCGCGCGTGTGCTGCCGAATGTGCTGTTTCTCTCTTCACTCTCTGCTCACTATCTTTCATCTCCCCCATCCCTCTCTCATGCGCAAGGTAGCAAACCGGCTCCCTATAGGCTGGTTAACCTCCCTGCCGTTCTTTTCCCCCTATTTTCCTTCCTTCCTTCCTTCCTTGTCGACAACATGGACCAACACGCCTCGAGTCGTACAAAAGGTTTCTTTTCACTCAAAGGCAACAGCGACGAACAGACAGTCGTCGTGGACCAGGCCATTCTTCTCGACCTGCTTCCAGCTGACCTTCTCCGAGTGGATCCACTTGGGGGCGGCGTCGGCGCGAGGTCTCTTCAGGCACTCCGCGCCGTCCTTCTCGGGACACGTCTTCAGCGGGACTCTGATGTCGCTGCCTTCCCTCTTGGTGTGCGCTATGCTCAGCGTGACGCGCCTGGCGAACGGCCAATCCAGGACGTCGTCCTTGTCTCCCGCGCAGAGGGCAAACAGCAGCGTGACCCCCGTGAGCTTGCCCCACGACCTGTTGAACTTGCAGGCCAAGTTGAAGGTGTAGCCGTCCAGGACGTGAGGCTTGCCGAGCCTGAGTAGCGGGTCGTCCGTCTTGCGCATGGACGCGACGCCCGAGAACTTGCAGATCGTCGCCGTGCCTGTGAAGTTGACGAAAGAAAACCTTCCTGGCATGACACAAAATAAAATGAAAAATAAATTAGGGCCGATCTACGAAGTGAATGCCGATGATGGGGCGACGCATGCAGTGTGCATCGCATTGTGAATTGTGGCATTTTATTCTGTTCTGGTTAATAGCCTTTCATTTTGTTCCCGTTAACATTTCACTCCGTAATATTATTTGATTTATGGGTGGTTAAATGTCACTGTTTTTACGGTGCTGCGGCATTTTAAAATTGTTGGTTCTGGTTGAGAAAGGGAAGTTTATTGTACACATAACTTGTACATACACGAACGAAACATCGAAAACAAGTAAGACAGCGTATACTTCTTACAAATGAGCATCAAGATCTAATTGATCACTGGGTATCCAAATGTTACAAGTCTAATGAAAATTAAAGTGAATCAAGTTAATCACATTTGACAGAATACCACATATGCATGCGTGCTAGAGTGGGCGCATGACTGGTACGGAACGACTGGAAAGGTCAGCTGTCCCTCCCTAACTATGAAGAAACGCGAGTGCCATCATCGAAGGAAAGCCTCTTCGCGGTGCGTTTCAAGCTGCTGGTCGAGTCAGGGGGGGGGGGGGGGGGGGTAGGAAAAAGTGGGTAACGATTTAAAGTACAGGGTACTCTACTATGGGAGAGCTTATAGCCGTCCCGTGGGCCTCAATTTCCAAAGCCGCATTGAATAGAGTAGAACACAGCAGCCCGGACAATTCACAGCCTTGTGGTTTACAGTTGTTTCGACTTGTTCACATTTAAACGTTGCCACTGTGCTGGGTCTATGCTTCTGTAGCCTTCTATTTGGTCCTGGGTAAGAGCCTTTTGTTTTGTGTTCGTTAACATTTTGCTCTACCATTTTCTTTGATTGGTGGGTGGTTGAATGTTGGTGTTTTTACGGCGTTGTGATTTTTTATTTTAGGGGCGAAGCTCCTTAGGGCGTGGGCTGTGCGTCCCCTGTAGCCTGTATGTAGCCACCTCTAGTTTAGTTCTTGCAGTGTTCACTAGATGGCGGTACCGTCTCCTGTATGTAGCCACCTCTCGTTTAGTTCTTGTAGTGTTTACTAGATGGTGGTACTTGTAGCTGATGATGAAAAGATGCAAGATGTTATAAACTAGAAAGCGGTACTTGTAGTTGATGAAAGACGCGAGATCTTATAAAATAGGAATGATGTCACATATGGCGCGTGTCATTGGTTGAAGGCAATCGTTCGATTTAGTGCGGCGACGTACGCTAGGGGGAGCGATGTAATAAAATCGAGTGGGCAAAATGTACAGAGGATTCATGGTTTACCAGGTTTACCTCCGGAGCTTCGCCCACTCATCATCATTAACTTCGTGGATATGGCGGAATTTTTTTTTATTTGAACTATATGCGCGCTATGTGCGCTTTGCGGATGGTTTTGCGCGCAGATTTTTTTAGACGTGCGCTTCAAGTGTGCACGGCGCTCGGACGGATTGAAGCCAACTGGACATCGTGAGGTCCTAAGGAGCTTCGCTCCAAAAATAAGATTCTTTGTGGCTTCGGCTGTCTTAACGCCGTAAAAACGTAAGCACAACGCAGCTGAGGGATCAGCTTCACGGAAAAACGAAGCTTGAAGTTGCGCTAGTGGGCTTCAACTTGGGGCTTCGACTTGGGTAACCTGATTTTTAATGGAGATCACTTATGCACTTCCCGCTGCAACGTTCTCAGTGTTGCCCTTAAATCATTGCGCCCACCATTGTGGAGCAGTGTTTGTGGTGCTTTGCTGCTGTCCCGATGGTTGCGGGTTGAAACCGGGGCCGCAGCAGTCGTATTTCGATGTAGAAATTCGAGAGACTTGTGTACTGTGTGATGTGAGTGCACGTTAAAGAACACCAGATGGACAAAATGTTCGGAGCCCTCCACTACGGCGTCTCTCATAATCACATCTTGGTTTTGGGACGTAAAATCTTAGATGATATTATTATCACTATTTGTATAAACCACTGCGTCTCACCGTTTTCTGCATGAACGCCGTTTTAAGCACGTCCGATAATGGGCGTGGAGCAAAGAAAACGTTAAAAGGTACCATTGCGCAGCGCAATACAAAAAAGAAGAAGAATAGTATATAGGCCTGGCTAATATACGCGAACATTCATATGACTCCATATTTCCGATCATTAGAAGGGATCAGTTATTGTTGTTGTGTCGTTGTTGTTTTTCTTGGACCGTAGTACTTTGCCTCCTCCCAGAGTCAAAGCGGATCTGTTTTGTCTTGTAGGAAAAGATATAAGAAATTACGGCAGCTACGAACTAGTGTTGGGACAAGTGAGGGAACACAGAGGAGCAGTTTCTCAGTCTTCGCGCCACTCCTCCTTTTTGTTACCCTCACACCACTCCCCCTAAAGCTGACTGACCTTTCGAACCAATTGCTATACTGTGCTACAGAAGGAGGTGATGTTGATTATGATGTATGGCCTTTGTGTATGGCTCACACCCACTGTGGGAGATTGACCAAGAAGTGAATACTTTATACGTATAAAGGTGATCACCTAAGAAATGTATGACTAATGAATTATAGTATAGGTATAATACATTAACGATGTTGATTTGGATACTCAAAACCAAAAATACCCTGATTCTTAATTTTTTTTTTCCTATATACTGTGAATATGCAGCTTCTCTTTTTGTTCTTTTTTCTATTTACATATCTTCATTTGTCACTTCCTCTTTCTTTCCGTCACTATCTGCGTATCCACATCTTTTTTTTATATGTTTTGCTGTCTCACTCTCTGTGCGCACCACGTCTCGCCAATCCGTGCTTTTGCATACCACACCAGACAAACGGGCTTCAATAGCCCCGCCGCGGTGGTCTAGTGGCTAAGGTACTCGGCGGCTGACCCGCAGGTCGCGGGATCGAATCCCGGCTGCGGCGGCTGCATTTCCGATGGAGGCGCAAATGTCGTAGGCCCGTGTGCTCAGATTTGGGCGCACGTTAAAGAACCCCAGGTGGTCGAAATTTCCGGAGCCCTCCACTACGGCGTCTCTCATAATCACATGGTGGTTTTGGGACGTTAAAGTCCACTTATAAATCGGGAAAGCGCCCGCCGGGAGTGCGCGCTCGGGAAGCCAAGCCGAAGACGAAAAGAAGGAAAAGAGCAGGATCCCGTCGTGCCTCTTTCCTCGGTTAACCTGATCCCCTTTCATTTGGAGCACTGGATTTCAGCCTCAGGGACGTTTTGTTCGCCGTTCAGGAATACGTCACTGCGACTAAACGATTTTCTTGCTAAATTATGGTCTCACAATTTTTTTCCTTGATTTCTTTTTCTGCGAATTTGCAATTGGCATTTCAAATCATAATTAAATAACAAAAGTTTTTTTTTTTGGGGGGGGGGGGGATGAAGCAATGCTGAAAGTATCGGGCAAATTCACCTCATAATCGGCCAATTCTCTCCTTTGGGTACGAGCCATTTGCAGAGGAAAACAACAACAACCACAACAACAACAACAACAACAACAACAACAACAACAACAACAACAACAACAAGTTACTATCCAGGTTTTTACTCATCTCTTCGTAGTATCTTCAACATTGTTGCAATATTAGTTCTCATTTTTAACCAGACAACATTTCATCTATTAATTAAACATTTTTAAACTACCCTCTTGTTGGTCGATCCACCAGCGCGGTCGTGTGCCACTGTTCACGGTTCTATTCTGCTCTCTTTCGCGCCCAATTTGCAGAGAAATGGGAACTTCTATAGCGCCGCCTTAACGAAGCACGAAATGCGCCAACCTGTCTCGGAGTCGCACCAACTGAAGCGCTGAGATTGCCCGTCGGCCTCGTCGTCTCCGCTCTCGGCCCCGGGGTCGAGGAAGTCGAGGAAGTTCGCCAGAGAGTCGGCCCTATGTCGGAGCGCGGCGAGCTTGGAGTCGCCCGCGGGGTCGTTTAACGAGGTCTTCTTCAGGCCTTCCCGTATGTCCCTGAGCGCCGCCGCCAGGCGCGCAACGTCTTCGGCGACGAAGTTCACCCTGCCGTCGGAGGACACACCACTGGCACTGGGTAGAATTGTGGGAGCGGGACAAGTATGAGTTGATGGCTATTATTATTATACTTGAATCGCTCCTAAGACACCCCTGAGATTTTTTTTTTCAAGATTTCAAAGTAAACAGGTGCAAAGAGTTTAGAGTGTCGTCATCATCAACAGTGCCAAACGGGGCAGTGCCACAAGCCGCGGGTGCACCACGGGCGTAAAACGGGCGTATCTTTCCGTTTTTAACCGTACAACTCGAGGTCTCAGACTGTCTCACGTTGTATCTGATTTGCCTTCTCTGGTTGCAATTTTGCAATTTCTTGCTGCCATTTTACTTTGTTCAAATGTTATCCTGTGTTCTACTGCCTTAAAATGTTTTTATTGCTTGAACTTTCTTTTTATTGAAGTTACATTGTGAATCACTCTTTATTATGCCCCCCTGCTTGGTCTTTCGGCCGCAGTATTCTGTAAATAAATAAATAAATAAATAAATAATTAAATAAATAAATAAATATATAAATAAACAAATAAATAAATAAATAAAAATAATCTTTTGCTCCTCTCCAGGTCTTTCGGTACCCCTACCATAGGTCGTAGAAGGAGGGAGAGGAGGAGGAAAGGCAGGAAAGTAATCCAGATGCACTTCCGGTTTGCTACACAACACTGGGGTACATTTAAGAATGAATCAAAAGAGCGAATAAAGTACTGTTAAAGTACATGTGCGCCTGTTCATTACATTACTGCAAGCGATCTCTTGATTCGGTTGATATTCAAAACAGCGTCAATTTCCACTTCGCTTTGCTCGCCTGCAACACGTAGGGCCACGGTCCGAAGGCTCTGCTCTACTCTTTCGAAAACAGTCCGTCATGTAGTTTGTTCAGAGCAACGCGAGGAATGTTGCGTTTGGTCAAAAAGCTGTCACAGAAGCACAGTATATGTTCTATTGTTTCTGGTGGAATCCGTCGGATTTCTCGTACGCTTCGCAGTTCATCCTCTTCCGGGGAATTGTGCACGGTACCAATGCAAGTTCTAGATGGTCGTTTACGATTTATACTTGAATGACAATTTTCTCGTTCTTTATGAATACGGTGACGATTGCGAGACGCTAAATGCACCATACCTCCAGTCGTCGCCTGCGACGCAGCCGACGTAATGCTCGTAGGCGTCCTTCCGCGCGACCTCGCCCGAGCACTTGGAGCAGCGCACGAGACCGTGGAAGCACTCCACCACGAAGTGTCGCTCGAGCTCTTCCAGTTTTCCCGCGAAGTCACAGCCGCGGCCTTGTTCGCCGTCACCGGTATTGTTGAAGCAGAAGACCTGCCGCTCGCCCAGGTCGCGTCGGGAGAACGGCAAGGTCTGCAGTTCTTCTCCGGCGAAGCTGGCGCCCTCGATGGGACAGAGGCGACCTCCGTCGATGGCCTGGCCCTCGCAGCACTCGCAGAGCACGTGCGTGCAGGGCAGCAGCTTGACCACCGCCGCGACGACGCCGCACAGTCCGCACACCCTGATCTTGGGCAAAGGTTCGGCGAATCGCAGGATCCGCCACTCCAGGAAATCGCCGAAACCGGTCATGCGGTACTCGCGGCCCATGGGCTTCATCCTTGCGAAGGGGAATGAGTCCCTCCTCCTGCATTTAAGAAAACATCAGATGGCAGTTTTTTTTTTCTGAAGCCCTCCGACGAGGCGTGCATCGTAATAATAGCTTGACTTTGGCGCGAAAAACGACAGATATTATTCCACGTTCAAAAGCGACTGAAGATTCTTTTTTCGTCTATTTTTTTCCGTTCGAATTTCATAGCAGCTCTACCGGAATAAACAAATTGCTAGTTCGTCCTTATACTGTTCATGCCCACGTTTCTCTAGCAGCTACTTATTTATTTTTCGCACGTTTCGGTAGCGCGCTGCTATCAGTATACCTATGCAACTAATCTCTCTTTGATTTGTTACAGTGCGTGCCTATAAATACCCGCACAGAGGAAACCAGGAAAGGTTACACGACCCTGGGTAGGTTCACGCATTCCGATATATCGCGCTTATCTCTACCTATATGGCACGGTGACTGCCAGGCGAGTGTTTGACTCTTTCGCATTTCATGAAAGTATGCAGTTGGAATAAGAGTGAAAGTTGCACAGTAGTTACGCAATTGTAAGCAATCATCACAACGTAACGTGTTGTTTTTTTTTTCTTCTGAAATGGTCGACCGATGAAGCCATAACAACGAAACGTTAATTGCGACTTGCTTCCCAGAATTTGGCGAATGGTCACTTGGATTCATTGTCTGACTGTTTCTGTAAGGTTGTGTCCAGCAAAACATCAGGTCATGGTCATTATTAATGCCGAACGGTGAGCCCACAACGTCAGCTTAAAATCGACACTTACTGTGCAATGTTCGTACTCAAGACTTAATTCTTGGATATGCAAAGGCAAGCCCACCGATTAGGAGCACGATACACGTACACAGTAAAAATTTTTACACCCAGAAGGGTGTAAATGAGCTTGTCCCGTAGACGACACCCTAAGGGTGTTAATTCAGCACCTTCCAAAAAGGGTGCTTTTTCATGCACCCTTAGAATAGGGTGTACATGTAAAAAAACTGTAGGGTGTTACAAAAACACCCTTAAGGAAGGGTGCCTTCGATGTCCATCACTTTTTTAGCACCCTCTGAGGAGGGTGCGAGAAGGGTGCCCAAGGGTGTTGAGTGCCCATGGCAGGGGTGCCAGTATTCTTTTAGAATGCACTAATAGATATCGGCATGCACTGATTACACACTACTTGAAGAAAGTGGTCCTGATTATCAATGGTGCGCCACCTGTCGAGCTCCATTCATTGCGTCTGTGGGCAAAAATATAAATGCGTACTATCGTGTATGAACTTGTGCTGGATCTATATATACTTCACAGTATATGCATAATGTGCGTTACAGAAAATGAAGCCTTGCTGCCCTTGCAAATTGTGTTTATTTAATAGGCAAATAAAACAAACTTTTCTTCTGCCACACAACTTTTTCACCAGATATACGTTCACGTATACGTACACTACACATGCAACACCTCAAATGTTTATTATATTTATTCAGTTTCACTTCATTGACAATTCTTTGCAACATACAATTACACTGGTTTCAGTTTAGTATACTGCTTCAAGTACATAATGACTACAAATGAAATATACGCTAATATATCCCTATAATTCTTTCAAGTATCTACAATCCCAGTGGTTTCCAGTTTAATACTCCTTCATGTACACAATCGGTTAATAGGAATGAAATACAGGCAAATATATACTTATGATTCTTTCAAATATATACAATCACCATGATTTCACTATATACGCCTTCATGTACACAATCGTTCCGAAGAAGTGATGCACACAAAAATATATATGGATAGTGTTTTCAAATGTATACAATCACAGTGGATTAAGCTTTGTATTCCTGGATGTATAACAATTGGTTATGAGAAATGATGTACATGCAAACATATATGGGTTTTTGCACATATAACTTTAGCGAATACTTAAGAAACCAATACAATGATCAGAAACACAATAAGCTAAAAACGAACACAAAACTGAGTCAAAACACACAAAAAACAAAAGAGGTAATGCATAATTAGCTAATGACACAGCTGGGTCACTTTATGCCAAATGTCCCAGCCATTTTGGCAACCATCTCTAATGTATTCGAAAAACTCGTGCTGCATTGAAAATAGTGAACTTCTGGAATATTTAGGAGAGGAAAAATATTTGGTCACATGGCTGCCCTCTGAACTTCCTGGAATGCTGTCTAGGTGTTGTATGTGAAAATTTTTATTTTAAAAGCACCGCTCCTTCTTTCCATACGAAACTCGGTCTACGTATTACATAACAAGAGCTTAATTTGGGAGAGTTGGTTCATCGTGGTTGTGTGCTAGTCACAGCGCGACAACTTTAGGAAGAGACAGAAAGGACAGGAAAGAGCACAGACTGTCAACTGAATTTAATGGATGTGCTACGAGCGCTTTTATACGGAGTACAAGAACCGTGTTCATGCGCGACGACAGGTGTGAGCACTACAAAATAGTCTTCACTGTGAAAAGAATACTCCCTCTCGGAAAGGATAAGTGAACGTGTAGTGATGCACTGATCATTGGTTTACCTGATAAAGAATACTTCTACAAACGTTAAATTGGCATTAAGTAAACCTATTCTCGTGACGAATGGGGCAAGATTGACTATTCCTGTTGCTGTTTAGTACACACACTTTTGAAAGCTTGCAAGGGGTGGAAAACAACACGCTAATATCATATCTGCTGGCTATTTTTTTAATTGTGAGACACATGATGCGGTATAACATGCAAAGGTTTTGGTCATTGTTTTTTGTTGGTTCTGTCTTCTTTAACTTTACTTTCTGCAGGAGGGTTTTGCAAACGGGTGTGATGATTCTGTTGGGATACCCAGCATCTTTTAGTCTTTTAATCTGGTTTTTAAACCTGACCTCACCCTTGTGCTAACATGACTTCTGAAGGGTGGCCTGAGTACATGTGGTATCAATTCCTCTTTCTACTAATTTTGAATGCCCACTATGAAAAGGCAGAACATTCTTAGCACTCCTGGGCTGATAGCACCAGCCAATACCCCAACAGCATCATCACACTTGTTTGCGAAACCCTCCTGCAGAAAGTAAAGTTAAAGGAAACAGGACCAAAAGAAAAAGAGAATGACCAATCACCTTTGCATGTCACACGGTACTACGTACATAAGGTGTCTCACAATTTTAGGAAAAGAGCCAGCAGATATGACATTGTTGTTTTCCACCCCTTGCAAGCTTTCAAAAGTGCATGTACTTACAGCAACAGGAATAGTCAATCTTGCACCATTCGTCACTAGAATAGGTTTACTGAATGCCAATCTGATGTGTATAAGGTGCCGCTAACACGTGGAAAAGTAAACATAGGACAAACTGGGCAATGCTTCAATGATCAAGCAAGACAGCATGCTTTAAATGTTAAGAAGGGCTATAGTAGTCTCATGGCCGGGCACCGTAAGGAATGTAAGTGTAGTCCTAGGTTTCCTAAAACACGGTTTTTGAAAAAAAAAAGCAAGCAGAAAAATGAGAGATTTTAGAACTCTTTATCAGGAAGGCCAAGGATCGATACATCAGTACACCTTCACTTATCTCTTCCGAAAAAGAGTATTCTTTTCTCGGTTAAAATTATTTTGTCATGCTCACACATGTGTTGTTGCAGATGAACCCTGGTCTTGTGCTCAGTATAAAAACGCTCGTAGCACCTTCAATAAAATTCAGTTGACAGCGCTCTTTCGTCTCCTTTTTGCGATAAGACTTTATTACAGAAAGAATTTCATTTTCTTACAGTTTAGGTATAATGATGAGTTTTCATTGTATCGCAACATGGAGCAAATTGCATCTCAATACGAACAAAAATCACAATTTTGTGAAATTCGTGATATTTTCTCGTATATTTCAGCAGCTTAGGAGGTCTAAAGATATTTTTTCCTCAAAATATACCTTCTGTGGAGTAAGTATTCACTGCTCAGGTATTCATACAAAGTGCAATATTGCAATAAAAAATGCAAACATAACAAATTTTGCCTTTATTCTTGGAAGCGAATGTGGCAAAAAAATTGCACTATTATTATTGACCTTCAAATACCTTACAGAAGCACATTTACTTAACAGGTAGACCGAATTTGCTTTAGAAAAAATAGGCGGTAGATTTAAAACGAAATTTTCCACAAACAGCACACAGACGGCATTATGCCAGGAAGTTATAAGCCAGCCACATGAACAAAACTTTTTTTCTCGCTGAAATATTCTAGCAGTTCACTGTTTTCAACGCAGTAAGTCAGCACTTTTTTTTTTCAAATACAATTCAGATGGTCGCCAAAGTGGCTGGGACGTTTGGCATGGAATGGTCCAGCTATATTTAAGCAAAATAACTTACACAAATAACAATGTTTGTTCATCTACCATGACCACACTAGAAGAAGTTGTTCAGGCATTGTGACACTAAAATTTTCAGCGTCATACTGCCTGAACAACTTATTTGATAAACTCCAAACTCACGCCGAGAAAAAGCCGCTCAATCACGGTGGACGTTAAAGGCCTTGCGGCCGTAGACAATGTTGAAAATAAAAAAAATCAACTCATCAGTGCTGTCACTCCTTCTTCGTCATTACTGACACGGAAGATTTTTCGGTTATCCATGTGGAGGTTCAGGAAGTAGGCTTGCTCTAGGCTGGGGCCGGGGGGTAGACTACGCAGGACGTCAGCGGCACCCTCTCATCCTGTAATAAGAGCAAATATGACTTCTCATAAAAGGATGTTCGTGCTGTTCTGGCAGCACCATATATAAAGTATGTGTAGTGTGTATCCTTCGAAATGGCGTGTAATTGACATTACACTGAACTCGAAGCATACAACCCATACATTCCAATAATTTCGTATGATAAAGAAAGAGTTTTCCAGCATACAGCGAATTCCCGAAATGAGGTGAAGTTGTAAGACTACAGCTCAAAAATGGCACTTACGAAAGCCTGAACTCACCTAAGAATCAAATTCCTTCTAGGGTAGTGAGCCAGTGTGAAAAACAATTCCTAAAGTACAACGTTAAGAACATGTAACATTAA